CAGGAGAGCTCCCGGGCCTGAGTTATGAAGAGAGCCCCTCAGACACTAACCCCACCCCCATTCAGGGACCCCACCCTCCCAGCACCCTGGCTCCTGCTGGTCTGCACTTCATTACCTGGACCCTTGAGATTGTATTCCCTTAACAAACTGAAATCCCAGGGTCCCCAGACAGAGGCAGCGGTGGGCCTGTGCCTCAAGCTGCTGGCACGAGGGAGTCCCGGGGACCCCAGACCACTTCCCAGAGCACTGGTCACACTCACCACCAGAACGCCATTGCCGACGAGCTGCTCGCCACGGTCAGCCCTGGAAAGCGATCCCAAAGTCCCCTTAGTAGGAGTCCAAGTTCTCACCCCACAGAGACCTGGGCATCCCCCAGGCACTAGTGCTGTCCTTCCCACGAGGCACTCCCACCCAAACGGCCCCAGGCCCCTGACTCACAGACTCTGCAGGCGAAATTCAACTTCCAGGCACCCCTCACCCTGGGAAGAGAGCCAGAAGCGAGTTAGAAAGGGTCAGGAGTGCGCATGTGTCAGTGAGTATGAGAGACATGCATGTGTGTGCATGTGCATGTGGAATTTCAACCCAGACACCAGCTGGGGCTGCCGTGGAAACACCGCCTTGCCTGAGGGCTCAGTGAGAAGCTCTTGTGCCGGAACTCCCCAGCCCGCAGAGTCCCCGCATCAAACAGCACTGACAACACAGGGTCATCTCCGGTCACCAGGTCCTGGTCAAAGACTTTCAGTTCCACGACATTCTGGAGGGAAAAAGTGACAGGGCTGCAGGAGGGAGGGGACGGGAAGGTGCGCAGGGCAGCGGCAGCGGCTGGTGGGGATGTGGGTAGAGCTAGCGCTGATGCCTGGCCCACCTTGAGCTGCCTGTGGATCCTAAAGTGAAAGCTCTGGTTCCAGACAGGGCTACTGCTGTTCTTGACTGTGCGTGTCTGGAGCCTGTGGCTGCAGGCTGTGGGCAGCCAGAGAGTCACGTAGCAGTCAGAGGGGGTCACTGTGGGAAGGAACAAGTGCCCAGCGGTGGCGAAGAGCCCTTCCCAGCCACCCAGACCCACTTCCTTCCATCACCTGGAGCCCCATGTGGGGTAAGACTAAGGGGAGGGGAAGTGGGGGACAGGGGCAGAGCCCCAGCTGCCACCTTCCATTCAGAAGCTCCTCTCAGTCCCCTCCTCTAGGCCCTGCCCACCAGCCCACCCGCCTCTACCAAATCCAGCCACAGCACCCTCCTCCTCCCTCAGCCCAGCAGAGGCACCAGGGCGGTGCGCACTCACCTAGGTCCTTAGAGGGTAGGCGATGGGCCTTCAGGACACGAACTGTGAGCAGGCAGGTCCTGGACACCTCTGCCTGCAGAGGTGGGAGAGGGGAGACCTGCTACAGGCTGATGAAGCCAAGGGTGACAGGGACTGCAAAGGAGGCTGGAGCAGTGCCTTAAGGCTTAATCCTGAACCCCAGGCCTGTCCTCCATCCCATCAGAATCCTGAATCAACAAGAGGAGACATGACATCTCCATGATGATGCCTGCCAGCACTCACACAACGCTCTGCGCCGGCTCTGGGCCAAGGGCTTTGCATACATTAACTCATTTGTCGCACAACCCCTGTATGCGCAGATACTATTTATGACGACCCACTCCACGAGGAAACTGAGGCACAGAGAAGCAGTCATTTGCCTGAGGTCCAGAATTGGGACTGGAGCCCGGGCAGGCTGGCTCCAGATTTATGCCTCACACGGACCTGCTTCCACCTCCTTGGGGTAGTATCCTTTAGGCTCTCCACTCCACATCCCCAGCCCACACCCCGGCTAAGCAGCTTTCAGGCTGGTCTTGGGCGGCAGGGGACATAAGCTATCGAGGGAGGGGAAGTGGCAAGTCAGGGCCTTGGGCCCCGGCTGAGCTGCTCTCGCACCCTCCCTCTACCCCTGGTCAGAAGTGCATCCTGAAAATGGGCTCTCTCCTGGGCAGGGGAGGTGGCTCCTAGCTCAGACCCCTCACAGGCTGTCGCGTCTGCCAGGTCAGGCTGAAGATGGTCCCCCAGTAGCTCCCTCCAAACCCATCCCCCGGTTCCGGGAATGCAGCCTGGCAGGCGCACCAGGACCAGCGAAGCCAGTGCCAACTGCTTCCTTTCGGCCTTCTGCCTGCCTCCACAAGGGCCCTAACAGGTCAAGTCCAGGGAGCAACCAGGTCCAGGGCAGTGCTGGAAAGCCTCATCCACCAGGGTCAGCCCAGGACCCCCACACTCCAGGCAACTGAGTCAGAGGAGCACAGAGCAGCCACTTCCTTCCAGGGCCTCAGGACGGCAGCTGGGAACCTGTGAGTCTCCAGGGCCCATATCCATGGTGCCAGGGAGCTGTGCCAGGAGCCCGTTCCCAGGGCAGAAAAAACTCAGGCTGGATCCCTCATCCCCAGGCCTCCTTCTCCCCTGGCTTCTGGCACTGGGGCCACTGGTCTTGTGGTCAATAAACTCCCCTCCCCACACCTGGAGAAGACCACCGCTCCCATAAGAAACATACTAACCAGGCCCCCACCGCTCCATAAGAAACATACTAACCAGGCCCCCACCGCTCCATAAGAAACATACTAACCAGGCCCCCACCGCTCCCATAAGAAACATACTAACCAGGCCCCCACCGCTCCCATAAGAAACATACTAACCAGGCCTTACCGGCCTCTGCTGTCCACAAGGGCCCAACAGGTAAGTCCAGGCAACCAGGTCCAGGGCAGTGCTGGAAAGCCTCATCACCAGGTCAGCCAGGACCCCCACACTCCAGGGACAACTGAGTCAGAGGAGCACAGAGCAGCCACTTCCTTCCAGGGCCTCAGGACGCAGCTGGGGAACCTGTGAGTCTCCAGGGCCCATATCATGTGTGCCAGGGAGCTGTTGCACGGAGCCCGTTCCCGAGGGCAGAAAAAAACTCAGGCTGGATCCCTCATCCCAGGCCTCCTTCTCCCCTGGCTCCCCACGCCCTGCCGTCTTGTGGCCCAGTAAACTACCCTCCCCACCCGAAAGA